AGCTTGGCGCTGGCCTTAAAGCAGACACAAACCAGAGGAACAGAATAGAGACCCTGAACATAAACTCAYGCATCCACAGCCAACTGATTTTCAACAAATGTGCTAAGAGCATGCATTGGGAAAAGGACAATCTTCAATAAATGGTGCTGGGAAAATTGAATTCAGAAGAATGGAACTAAAACCCTGTCTTTCACTAGTTACCTTCTAGTTACTACTAGAAGAAAACCTCGTGGGAAACTTCAGGCCATTGGAATGGGCAAGGATTTTTTTTTTTTTTATAAGACCCCAAGGCTCAAGTAGCAAAAGGAGAAAGATTTATAGGATTAGTTCATTCTTCAAAAGTTTCTTCACAACAAAGGAAACAATTAACAGAGTACAGAGACAACCTACCTACAGAATGGGAGAAAATATTTGCAATGTACTTACCTGACAAGGGATTGATATCCAGAATATATAAAAGAACTCCAAACAATATTTTTTAAAAAATTTAAAAATAGGCAATAGGCATAGATAACTTTTTAAGAAGACATAGATGCTGATTCATAATACGTTACAGGGGTGGTAGTGGGAGGATTAAATGAACTCTAGATAGAGAAAAGGGGAGGGGGAGGGGAAGGGAGGGAACATAGGGGTAGGAAAGACGTTGGAATGCAATGGTCATGATTACCCTAAGTACATGTATGACAAGACACGAAGGCTGTGACTACTTTGTGTACAACCAGAGATATGAAAAATTGCACTGTATATGTGTAATATGAATTGTAATGCATTCTGTTGTCATATGTAACAAAATTTTTCAAAAATTTAAAAAGAAATGGCCAAAATGCATATGAAAAACCATAATGAGCTATAACCTTCAATTAAAGTGGCTATTATTAAAAAAAAAAAAGATAAAAGATAAGTACTAGTGAGGATGAGAAGAAAAGGAAAGCCTTGCACACTGTTGGTGGGAATGTACTTTAGTACAACCATTATGGATAAAAGTGTGGAGGTTGCTCAAAAAATTAAAAATAGAACTCACATGACCCAGCAATCACACTAATGGATATATGTTCAAAAGAAATGAAATCAGTACGACAAAGAGACATCTGTACTCCCCTGTATATTGCAGAACTGTTTACAATAGCCAAGAAATAGTCTTATCAACTAATGTATGGGTAAATAAAATATTGAACATATACAGAATGGAATAGTGTCCTACCATAAAAGAGAAAAAACCCTAGAATTTGTGACAACATGAATGGAACTGAAGGTCATGGTAGATGAAATAAGTCAGACACAGAAAGATAAATCCTGTATGATCTTACTCCCATGTAGAATCTAAAAGAACAGTGGTTATGAAAGGATGAGGGAAGGAATAGTGGAGAGAGTTGGTCAATGGGTACTAAGCTATGATTAGATAGGAGAGAGAAGTTCTGGTGTTCTATTGCACCGTAGGTGACTATAGATAATAATGTATATTTCAAAAAAGCTAGAAGAAAGGATTTTGAATGTACTTACCACAAAGAAATGATAAATGAGAYGATAGATATATTGATTTGAACATTATACAGTATATACAWGTATAAAAGCCTTATGTGGCATCCCATAAATATGTACAATTTTATGAATCAGTGAAAACTACATATTTGCAGTGCTGGAAATTGAACCCAGCGCTTGCATATGCTAGACAAGTGCTCAACCACTGAGCTACAAACCAAGCCTCTAAAAGAATAAAATGAACTCACAGTCATGTGATGAATTTAGTGAAAATTAAGTATTGCTAATAGAAAAAAAAAGCACATGGGGCCTTTTTAATTTATCAACTTGGCAGAGTAATAACCAATATTTCTGCCTACTTTCTGTATCAGTTGTACAAATGTTATAATGATACTATTAGGTTAATCTGATGAAAAAATTAAAACTGGTTCTGTAATCCAAGCACATAGTTGTGACTCAGTTTACAATTATGAGYCTAAGGTTTTACCTTAGAGTCTCCTTTTGTTGGTAGTTTTATGTTTGGAGTAATAACACAAGGCAAATTTAGTGGCAAGGAAGAATGGTTAGCAGTAACATTTAAGTTCGTCAGAAATGGCAAGCAATTGATGTGTCAGATTGGGCCTACAATGGAGTGACTACTCCTAGGAATTTCCTAAATTGAACTCCTCCTTCTGGAAGAAATTTTAGCTGCCTTTATGCCATATAGAGTACTGCTATTTTAAATTTGATGAGAGTCAGACCAGAGAACTAGAAAATTCTTTTACTTAACCTGATTTTTTTAAAAAAGCTAACTGTAAATGAGATGTAGTACCAAGAAAAATCATAAGCCTGGAAATTAAGTCAATGATAAATCTAATACAGCAATTCAATTAGTATAATATGAAAAAGAAACATGAATATTATGCCCACAATACTCTCAGCAAACAACTTTGGACTTTTCTTTCTATAACTAACACATTTTGCCCATTGCCTTGTTAAAGAATTTCTAAAAAAAAAAAAAAAAAAAACCCTGAATACGATTATTAAATTGCAATATAATTAAATGTGTCCTAAACATGTGTTCTTTCTTTCTAAGTCCCATACCATGATCCAGTTTATTCCCTTCATCAGGGCCTTTTCCTCCTCCTCTCCCATGGCAATCCCACATATCAATCTTTGATACAGGCTTTGACAGTTATGATGGGAGACCTCTTGAAATGGAAGACCATTCAGCATATCCTTCTCTGTTGCATACTATTGTATTCTATTTGTTGGTTGTTTTCAGGTTGCTTTAGACTGTGAGCCTCTGGAGGACAGTGATTCTGTTCCATTCAACTTCAGATCCACACAACCAGTACCACATGCATTGGTGGTGTCAATGAATAAATTAAACAATATGAGCACTCAGGATTTTGCCATTTTTGTAATTACTTAGAATATAATTATTATGAAGTGATGTGAGCATAATACAACTAGAACTGTCTTATTARCGATAGATAGATAGATAAAAAAGATATTTATATGGTGCTTTAGAGGTTTCTTTACTCTTAAATATTTTTGAAATTACATGGTTCTTAGGAACTGAGTCTGTCTCCCATTTGTTACCTTCCCCACAGTAGCACCATAACTTCAAATAGATTTTACATGTAGCATCTTTAGTCTCAAAGTCCTGGGAGGGATCTAAACTAATTTTAATTCAAAATTAAATCTTCAATTGATTTTAAATCTTCAATTGATCATGTATTGGTTTGTGTGCATTTTCTGTTTTAAGGGAAATAATTTGACTAATGGCAGTCTGAAACTAAAAGTAATTGAGTTATAAGGATTCCGTATCTTAGTTTAAACTGGCTGTTAACTTTGAACTCAGCAGTTCAATTAAAAGTAAATCTAGGGGGCTGGGGATGTGGCTCAGTGTCAGAGTGCTTGCCTTGCACATGYGAGGCACTGGGTTCGATCCTTAGCACTACGTAAAAATAGATAAACTAAATGAAGACATTGTATCCATGTAAAACTAAAATATATATTTTTTAAAATGAAGTAAATTTAGGCCGGTTTGGTGCATGTGCCTGTAATCCCAGCAACTCAGGAGGCTGAGGCAGGAGAATCCAAGTTCAAGGTCAGTCTTGACAACTTGGTGAGACCTTGTCTCAAAAAGGTGTGGGGAGCTAAGGATAAGGCTCAGTGGCAGAGMGTTTACCTGTCATGCATGAGGCTGTAGGTTTAATCCCCAATACCACAAGAAATTATGTAAGTAAAAATTAATTAAAATCTCTCATCTATTTTTTTTTCTCATCTATTTTTAATTTATTAATGTCTTTAACCGACTTTTGAAGGGGAAATAAATGACAAAAACAAAAATTTATTCATTAGAAACAAAGAAATGACAAATTTAGAAATGTTTATGGTATTTTATATATAAATGATGTTAACATTTTGCCTTTATCTTTTATTTTGGGAGGACTGGGGATTGAACCCAGGGCCACCTTACCACTGAGCTACATTCCTCAGTCCTTTTTTTTATGTTTTATTTTGGGAGAAGTTATTGCTAAATTGCTGAGGCTGGCCTTGATTTTGCAATCCTCCTCAGCCTCCCAATTTGCTGGGATCACAGGCATGCAACACTGTGCCAGGCTTGCCTTTGTTTGTTTAATGAAGATGGAAACTCTTTTCTCAGATTTTAAAATTATTTTCTTAAAAAGTTTTTCATTGTTCTTGTGTGTGTGGGGGGTTGATTGATCGATTTATTTATTTGTTTGTTTGTTTATTTATTTATTTATTTTGGGGGCAGGGTCTCCCTAAGTTCCTGAGCGTGCTAAATTTCCCTAACTTGGTATCCTCCTACCTTAGCTGCCCCAGTCTCTAGCGTTACAGACTTGCAACCACTGCTCCAGGCACTTGCTTGTATTTTGCTTGGTAAAGGAGAGTGAAATTAAATTTATTTGACTACTTTACTAATTTTGCCGRGTGAGGACCTCAGTTTAATAAAAATATATACATATGGCAAATATATACATATGGCATGGATTTATACAGCATTCTTTATAATTAACATGGATCTCAAATATTTTATTTTTATATTATCCTTTGATTCTATCACAGTGATTTGATTTGGGCAACATAATTTTCTTCCCCTTAAATATAAAAGCCCATGTAAAGAAAAGTTTGTATATGAATAAAGATATGAAAGGATGCCACCAATRGTTTCCATTAGCCTCTAGGAATAGGACTGTAGGGGTATAAGACTACCTTTTATACCAAATTTAGAAAGTACTTATATTAAATTTTAGGGTTTTTTAATACTTCAATTTAATCATTAGACTACAATCTTATGTTAATACTAACTATAATTAAGTATAATATTGGAACAGAAAAGTCTTAAGAACTATAAGAATATATAATGAATATAAACAAATAAATATACTTTTATAATTTTCCACTCTCAGTATCAACATTGATGATAAATAATATGCTCTTTAAATATTAGACAACAAGCTAATACTTTAAGCATTAGTAATAAATGTATTGAARTTAAAATGACTTACTTTGAAAAGAGATTCAGGTATTTTTTGCTAAACTTTCGTTGGATTTGACATGGCCAACCGATAAATTGCAAGAGCAATAACTATCTGAATACTGTTGCTGTAAACAAGCGAGTATTCAGTTCCTGCTATGTGAAAAGGAGCCAAATGTAATGATTGTGGTCTTATTCAAGGACAGAGTGCTGGTGATATCATTTCCATWGACAGTACAATTCCGCAGCTGGCTCTGTCAGTCTGAGAAGAGATCTCACTTAAAAAAAGACCATGAAGTAATTTGCAATTCAGGGGCACTATTTTAAAGGAAATGAGGTAGAAGTCTACTCACTAAAATCAAAGGAAACCTTGAGTATTTTTATTTCCTTTTTAATATTTGTGTTTCTTCAATATGTAACCATGCCGGTTTACTTGGGAATTCAGGAAAAGTTGAGAGTGTGAAGAAGTTTGYTTTTTGGAAAAATTCTTTGGAGGCAGAACTCTTGGGGGAAATTATTATTTTGTTGTTTGGACCTACWTTGCTCATTTCATTTGAGATTTAAGAAATGTGTGTCAGAGGTGTTTATTAATCGTCTCTTTTCTTTCAGTGTACTGTCAAGCATGTTAATGATTGAACACCAGTGACATGAAAATAAGAGTTAAAATTCCCACCCTCTTGTTGGCTTGAAACACAAATGAAATGCTTAGTATTCAATGAACCAGTAACCTGGGCAAAAGTCAGAAAATGCATACCTCATTGTCTTGGGACAATGTTTTAGCTACACATGATTTTGTGTAACCTTTCACCCCTCTTTCCTAGTGTCCAAAATGTGTCATTTGGCWTTCTATATATAMTAGCAATTTTATTTATAACAAAATACAGTTCCACAGATATCTGGATGCCTACTATGTCTTAGAAACTGTGCTAGGGACCAGCCATGTTTTTGGTTTTGTTTTAGTGTTTTTGGTAATGCTGGGAATCAAAACCCAGGGCTTTGTTTATGCTAAGCAAACGCTCTGTCACTGAGTCCCATCCCCAGTGTTGGGCCAGGGATGTAGAGAATGAAACCACTTAATTCTCCTGTTGTTGCCTAATCTGGTGGAGCAAATTTATGAATATCTTATGTTGTTTTAAAAACATAATCAATGTAAATCTTTCTGCTTTCAATAAAATTTTTGACCTGTGCAATTTTGGAATGACTCAAAAAGACCTCTAAGTATAAATCTGTGCCAGGACATCTCTCTGTTTTATTAGGTTATCAGTTAAGTGTCAGTAGTAATTGTGATACTTCCATTGAGGTTTCTTTTTTTTTTTTTATTCTTATTTGTGCCTATTGACACTCTTTCACCCATCTAGAGAACAGCTCTGAATTGAAATTCAACATGTTTTGACAGATTTTCTAGTTGTCTTGGCATTTATTATTTTTTCCTTCAAATACTCAAACCACCTAGCTCAAATAAATCTTTTGAC